GGGAGCTTTGGGGGACTGAAATCGTGGCAGGGGGGAGCTGTGTGCCGCTGAGCCGGCGAGCGTGGGGCCCCACTCACTCTGCCTGCCTGGGGAAGGAGCAGTGATGGGGGCAGCAACGTTCAGGGGGGCTGTAGGACTGTGTGCTCTGCATCCAGATAGGGCAGCCGGGATGGAGGGGACTAGAGCACCCTCCAGCCCCCTGTGTCCTCCTTGTGTGCCTCAGGGGAGACCCTGTCCCCCCGGGAGATGCTGGGCTGGTGGGCTGTCCCAGGAGGCATCTTCTTGCCCCAGTGGCACTGTCTCCTCTTTTTTCTCCCCTCCAGGAACGAAGACTTGGAGATGTAAGTAGCAGTGCCAGGTCCCCGTGCGGGGTGGGTGAGCAGCTCCTGTGGCATGAGGGACAGGGCACAGAGGGAGCGGGGCGAGGAGGGGAACAGGGCAAGTGCAGGCTGAGGAGGGTGCTGGTACCGAGGGAGGACTGGGAAGGTGGGACCTGTGCAGCATAGACTGTTCTGGGGTCTCCCCATCATCTTTCCACACTCCTTAGTTTGGGGGTGCTGCTGCTCCCAGCCTCCCCCACGCCAGCGGGGTGGGGGGGCTCTCCACACTCTCTTTCCTGTGGGGCTGGGCCACAGGGGTGGGATGACATTTGGCCTTCTCAGTGCATCCTGGGCTGTCCCTTGCTCCTCTCTGTGGCTTGGGGGTGACACAAGTGACCTTGGTTTTGCAGGCCACCCGCATTCAACTTCTACAAAATCCCCCGGCCATCCACGAGGCATTAGCCCCTGTTGTCCACAGCACGGGCACGGAGGAGATGGACACAGCTGCCCCGTCTGCTGCGCCTTCTCCTTGGGTGCTGTGGAGCAGGTTGCGACCCCCAGGCTGAAACCCCCTCCCCAGTTCCCAATACGTGATGATACCCTGGTATGTGTGGGAGGGGGGGCTGCCCCTTGCACTGCCCCAGGTGGGACTTCACCCCCCCCCGCCAGGCTCCATGGGCTCAAGGCAGCTCACACTGTCCATGCCACCGCAGCCTCTGTGCTGCCGGCCAGCGGGACCCTGCTCACCCAGGCCCCTCGCTCGAAAAGTGTGACTATTTATTTTTGCAGGGAGCCTGACTCCTTCCAAGGCTGTGATTTTTTTGGTGTCAAACAATAAATGGGCTGTTTGCGTGTGCTGCAGGCATGCGGCTGCACTCTTCATGTCCGGCTGCGATGGAAGGGCATCAGGGGTAGGGGCAGGGAAGGCTCCCCACTGCTGGCACAAGCTGGGGCTGTGCCTGGGACTAGAGGACTCATGCTGGGGTCCCCAAGCGTGCTCTGCTCACATCCAGCTCTTGGAGTCCTGACCCAGCCCATGGGTCGATGCAGGACCACTGCTCAGCGTCACCGGTGACATTCCCCTCACCAGGCAGCCCTTTGCACCTGTGGCTGGGTGGGTGCCAGGTCCTTCCCTGGGAAAAGCCATGCCAAAAGCCTCCTGACCATGAGGTGCCACCCCCCCCAGCACACAGGCACTTCCCTGTGCCCTCTGGTGACCCTGCTATGTGTCATCTCTGGGTTTCCAGTTGGTTTATGGTGTGCCTGCAGCCTGCATCTCCCTCCCTCTACTGGGTATGGTGGCATGGGGACTTTCAGTGTCCACCCCTGCATGTCCGATACTGCTGCATGGCATGGATGGGCACGGCGAGAGCTGCATGCACAGATAAGCCAAGGGCAACTTGGTCTGCACCCATGGTGGGGCGAGTGCAGGTGTTACTTTGCGCTGCTCCTTGGCGCAAGCACAGGGACCATCTCGAAAGCTGGGTCAGGCACAGGGGACATACGTGAGAAGCTTGACTCATTTCCTTTGTTGCAAAGTCCAAGTCTCTCCAGCACGAGCGACGGGGCCGAGCTGGCCAGCTCGCCCTTCGCTACATGCATCTGCTTTATCGCTTTTTCCATTTGCCTTCAGATCTTCTAATCACTATTTTTTTCCTTCAGGCATTATCTGAAGCTGCACCGGCCTTACCTCCTGCTATCTCCCCCCCCAGCACCCGTCCTGACTGCAAAGAGAGCCCTGTGCTTGCCTATCACCCAGCTGAATCTGTCCTGTGTGGTGGCTCAGTCCCTGCTCCCCCCAGCGATACCCACCCTTTCTGGTCCTCGGGGCTGGGTTTCCCAGCACTCCCTTGGAGAGCATTTAGCTCAGTTTTGTCTCCACTTGCTCTGCCTTCGCTCTCCCTCGCCCTGAACCCTCAACCTCACGAGTTGTGACTGTTTTGTGCTTGTCTAGGGGCTGCATGTGGAGGTTTCCATCCCCGAGCCCCAGACCGTCCCCACCGCACAGCATCCTCTGCTTCCTCTTCCCTTGCTGTGCCTCGGGGACACCGGCCTGCGCAGGACTGCTGCTGGCTTCAGTTTCCGCTTGCTGGTTTTGCGGGCACTGCTCCCTTCCTGCTCCCCTCTGCTCAGCCTCCAGTGCAGCCTTTTCTTCTCTGCAGAGCTAGTGCTGGAAGGCAGGGAGCTCAACCCTCCTTGTTTGCTGCGTCACCGTGGCCACCTGCATCCAAACCCAGCCCTGGCAATGAAAATCTCCCCCCAAATTACTGCACAGCCTTTGCCAAAGCATGGGGCTTGCTCTCAGCAGCTCCCCATTCAGCGCTGCCCCAGGGGAGCATCCCAGGCCCTGGAGCTGTGGCTCTGAGAGGGGCCTGGGTCCATCCTCCTCCTCCTGAGCAGCCCTGGGAGGTGGGCGAGAGCAGTGTCAGGCAGGGCCAGCAGCTGCTCAGGGAAGAGGTGAGGATGGCTCATTGCAAAATGCCCACAGTGGCTGCTGCCGGCTCTCCTCTCAGGCCAGGCTCCCTCTGCTCACACGAGTGGCAGCTGCCAGAATCCACTTCCCTTGCGCGGGAGGGAACCTCGCAGCGCCCCACAGCCACAGCACAAGGCCACCATAAGGAAGGCCTCATCAATAGCCAGCCAGCCTCTAGAGAATCGTTGTAGCAGTTCCTCTTCCCCTTTGCCAGACTTCTTTCCACCACAGGGACTTTCTGCAGCTAAGCCCTTGTCTGGGGGAGGCCCTGCCACATCTTTAAAAACCAGGATCCCTCCAACAGCAGCTCTGCCACTGGGTGCCCAGGGCAGCAGGCTCCTGCCGGGGCCAGCCTGGTGTTCCCCATTGCTGGTTTTCCAGCCAGGAACAAAGGGATAAGTTGCAGCTTATGAGAAAAAAATTCTCCCTTCCTCAGCCCTATCTTGGGCCCAGCCACAACTCTCCCAACAAGAAGCCCCACTGGCCTTTGGGGGGTGCTTGTGGCACCAAGCAGCTGCAGAGAGGATGGGAGCGAAGCCCAGGTAGGTCTTCTTGCTCCCAGCAACGTGTAGGCTTGCCTTTGCTGAAC